GATCGTGTAAACGTATAGTTTCTGGATGGAAGTATATTGAAGCGAAGCAGTTGCTCCTATTAGAAGTAGGGGACAGGGTGGTAATTGTAGGGCAAAGGTAGCCAAATTGTGCGCTTTAACATTTTCGTTCGCATTTGAAAAAAGAAAAGAAAAGGATGTCAGCCAATAATAAGTGTTTTGCTAGGAAGCATTTGAAATCTGCATCGGGTGAATAAATTGTGGGCTCACGTACTTAAAAGCGGGCAGGGGGGCGGAGAAGGAATCGAAATACAACGACGACTTTTTGTATACTTTTTCACTTCCTCTCTAAGGTAGCAGTGTAACATTAACCATATTGGTCAAGCAATGGTTTAACTTTGAGTGTTGAATAAACTGACTTTTAATGCGTCTACACAACAAAAGATACTAGCGAGAAGTAGAAATAACATAATACAGCAGAAAGTTAGCGCCAGCGAAAAGCCCCACAAAAATACAAAGACTAGCGTGTCGTACCCAGAGATTCCATGCAACCGAGCAAAGCATATACCAGCCACCTGTTGGTGGTTTAATGACGTTGAATCACGACTCTGTTGCGCCACACAAGTTCATTTCTTAATGAAATTATACAATTACTAGTTGGCATATCCGGCTTTGCTCGGTTGTCCTTGACAGAATCTCTAATCTGAAACTCAGTTTTTGATTTTCGCATTATTTGAATGGAGTCATTGTGAAGCGGAGTAGAAGCTAGCAGAACCGCTAATTCTTAATGTAATGTTATAGACTTATGCTTAAAGGTTTGGAAAACCTTGGATGTTTCTACGGAAACAAATGCACGATCAACCAATCGATAATTGAGCGGTGACAGGGAAAGCCTTAAGCGTTCTTGTCTTAGTTCATAATTTTTAGTCATCTTAATTTTCAAAAATCTCTATCTTCTGTACAATTTCACCTACTGGAGAATTGAGGCGGGGGCATATAAATAATTTTGAAGAAGTAATTATATCTTAGACTGACCAAACAGCTTTAGGATTGAGAACATTTTAGATTGCAGGTTAACACAATACAGATGTGCATAGTTCTAGTCGTACCAAAGACTAATTGCGCAAAAAGTATGAGAGGCCTTTTCATGAAGCACATCTTGTATTTCCTATCGAAGCTGCGTATCGAGCTTACAGAGGTGTGTGGCATCATCACCCATGACGCCCACGACCATTAGTGGGGAGTAAGTCAGTCTGAGATCCGTTTCGTAACTGCCTCAAATGAGAAGTAGTAGTCGTTATTATATTTCTACAATATTATTAAATTTCTCTAAGGAACCAGCTTAGTAGTCTAAGATCAACTTATCTGTTTGGAGCGTTTGAAACTACTTCATAATTAGGTATGACGTTGATTTATGGTCTCTTTGATGGGTAGCTCATTTCTGTTCATTATCTGATGGACAGGATGTGACACAACAAAAAAATAAATATAAATTACTTTATCAAAAATTTCGCTACCTAGAGATTAGGTGAAAAGCAGAAAGGTGCACGTGTTTCGAGGTCCTTCCCCCATCTGCCGTACCTCCCCACGTCAAGGCGTCTAGTAACGGTATTTTGATTACCTTCAACTGAATACTCAGAGGACAGTCGAAGTAGCGCTCTGAGATGCTTTTTTCGTTCCTTCATTTATGAAAGAAAATATCCATGCGCTTGCTTTTGCTGCGCTTTCTCACTGCCTACTGCTTTAATCTTAATTGGCAATCGCTCCGCTTCAACGTACTTCCACTCACACAATATATGTATTTAAGTTTGATGGAGAGTGATAACGGCCTTATTCTCAAAACGAGCTTCTCTAGGGTCAAGGAGATCGTAAATCGACGTCATCAAACCTAAATTTGTTCCGTAGTTGTAAAAATCTATAAAGTAGTTTCACACGGTCAAACAGATGAGTTGGTCTTAGACTACTCTTCTGTGGATCAACATGAATATAAGACAGTTGAATGGAGAATTTCAATAATATTGTAGAATGAACATGGCGCCGTGGAAGTGTGCGCAATATCGCTGTCCTCACACCAGAGAGATCGTACTTTATTAAATGAAACAGAATAGAGTATAAGAAAAAGCAGAACAATATAGATCACTGGGTAGGAGGTAATGCGGAATGTACAACGGTGAGTGTAGCGTTGGAGGGAAGCGGCAGCCCGGGACGGTGGAGGAGTGGCGACGTGAGACCTCGGCAGGCCGACATTAGGAGCTTTACCGAGAGATGCATATCATCGGCCACACCCTGTGATGAGTCAGCTATAATTATATGAAGTATACAGAAGATGTTAAGCTCAGATAACAGCTCAAAGAGCGCTGCCCTTACAGTAGAAAAAGTAATAAAGGCTACTACTTTTTTGACGCAGCGTAGGTGGACTCCATGTTGGCTTTCTCCTCACTAATGGTCGTACACGTCATGGACGATGACGCCATATGCCCTTGTGGGCTCCATAGCAGCTTGTTCAATAGGGGATACGAGATGTGCATATAAAAAGGTCTCTCATACTTTGTGTCTAAA